TCAGCCATGAACACATTTTAATTGTTTAGTCCATTCATGTGAGGCCGAATATCCCCATGCGTCAGGGAGAAGTTTGATGAAAGATATATTTATATAATTTACCCTTTGTCTAAAACATTTCAACATTCTAATCATAACCTGGATTTTTGAATAATGAATTTACAAATAATAGTAATAAATGCAGGATATACAATTAAGGCAATAGTCCAGTGTACTTTGATACCAATATCACTGCTTCTTCTACATTAAAAAAAACAACAACAACCAGAACATGTTAAATCTATTGTGTTTATGTTTATTACAGGATTGCTTCATGTTGCCTGGACATTACATCAACACATCTCCAACCAGAACAGATCATTTCTTTTGACACTCAAAAGTTCTTCTTTGAATTTACGTTTACTACAATTAAGTAATGGAACTTATTTCAATGTGAATAAATTACTTTCTTTCAGGATTAAGAAATTCTGTTGGGTCAACTTAATCTACTAGTGTAATATTACAACCATAAAATGAGTTTGACCAACCCAATTAAATTAAAGTCAGGCCCTAGTAAGTAAGTTGAATCAACCATACTAAATTAAGTTGAAATAATCAAGTAAATTAAGTCCGACCAACATAATTACTGAATGCCATCAGAAACAAATTCATCCAGTGGAAATACTTTCAATGATTTAGAAGAAGTATTTTTTGAGTAAGCAACTCAGACTCTCAAACATACCTTATTAAAGGCGTCAGTATGCTTCGAACAAACTAAAGCAAGCTGTGCATATCTCAGTCACCCCTTGCATGTCCACCTGACTGAATATCCTGTATTTCCAGCATGCTCTCCAGAGGTCCTCTCATTCCTGCTGTGCTCCAGTCATTGCTACATTTTTAAAAATGTATTAATCTTTTGTAAGCCAGGACAAAGCAGGAGGACAAAAAAACAACAGCAGTGAAGGTGAAACCACCTCTGCCCGGCTCCCTTCACTTCTCCCTTTAGTTTCTCACTCAGGATAATGTAGCTTATCTCTGTGCAGCAGAGAATGGATTTTTGGAGCTCTCTGGTTAAGATAAATTAACATAAAACAACAAGGCATTCCTCTGCTTTTCGACACTTGCATGCACTCTGAATATTCATGGTCCTTTATGTCGTCAGATCAGCTTCTCACAGAGAGTCTCTACTGTTCTCTTGCTGTCCACAGAGACACTCACTGAAGTTTCACCAGCCGAAGGGTTGAGGAACGTGTGTTTTATATTCATTTTTATTGTTTGTTAGTTTGTACTGTGAGCTTTAAATTGAAGTGCATCTGTTTTTAAAGAATCCTTTAATTTTTATTAGTGCTGTCAGTTAAACGTGTTATTAACGGCGTTAATGCAAACCCATTTTAACGGTGTCATTTTTTTATCGCGAGATTAACGTTCTTTTTGGCCTAGCACACTTTGTAGTTTTTTTCACATGCTGTTGCAACAACTAGTAATGTTAGAAAAACTACAACACCACACCGGATCTAGCTAGACCAGAAATAAAACAACAGGCACACTGCACACACTTGTTTAAGAGTAGTAGACGTTACGTTTTGAGTGGATGGCGAGCGCGAGACGCCAAAATGGATGCCAATAATATTCTGAATGGAAAGTTTACTTTTAAAAAGTTGCCAAATGGTTCCATTGACAAGACCAAAGTGATCTGTGTTTTTGTCGTTGTGAACTGAGCTATCATCGCAGCACGTCCAGTCTGAAATACCACTTGATGGCCAAACACACAGCTGATGCCAGTTCTCCGCCCCCTCGTCCAAGCCAGGCAACAATGGATGACTTCAGACAGAAGCACATGAATACCACAACTAAGAACAAACTTACCGCAGCCATAGCTAAATGGGTGGCCACTGCATGTAGGCCTGTTAACGTTGTGGAGGACGAGGGTCTAGTATTTTTTTCACCCTTTTATTGATGGACAGCGTTACACTGTGTGAGAGATTATTTGCTCCAAGTGAGAATGTTAGTGTGAAATTGAACACTACAGTAACGTTATGTGCTGTTTTCAATAAAAACAACATTTGCACAAAGCAAGCCGATCCACTTTTCCATGTTGATAAGAGCATTAAAATGAGAAAAAATAATGGGACAAAAAGAAATCAAGAGCCATTTCGAATAGATAAACATGTGTGATTAATTGCGAGTTAACTATGACATTAATGTGATTAATTGCAATTAAATATTTTAATCGTTTGACAGCACTCATTTTTATCCAATCCAAGTCTTTAGGCTGTTTATTCAGTATATCAGTTTGTAAATGTATCTATGAAGTAGACTACATTTTTCTACAAAGCCTGCATTTAATTCTTTATCCTGAATCAGTTTACTATGGAAGGAAAGAAGGAAGGACAGCTGGAGTCAAGAACTGAAATGTATTTTTTAAGTGTCTAGCTTTTTGATACAAAAAACTTAAGTGTATTATGAACTTTGTCATTATGCCAGGTTTGCTATGAAAAAAAAGAAGTTAAAACTTAAAAGCCGGTCCCGAACAGTGCAAACAGGAGCGGATCAGAAAACAAGGAGGCTTCATAATAAAATGTGACCAAATATACGTTTCGAACAGGGACTTAATATAAGCCTTCTATAGGCCTGTTACTCTCTGCAATTGAGGTAAATAGAGGCAGCCTATATATAATATAAAATATAGCTTCTATTTGAGGAAATACAGTATATGAGCCAAAGTCAGCCAGGACAAGTCAGCAATATCCTGAAATCTTATCAGCCCAACACCTAACACCCTGTGACCAGGAACAGTTTTGTGAAAGCAGAAAGCTATGATGTAAGGCATGCAAAATGACAGCTCCCATACAGACACTAACTCATCACAGATTTTTTTTAGACTGAGATGCAGAATGAATGTGTTATTTTTGCCTTGTGTATATACTGGATCACACGGAATATTTCTGCATACTGGAGTCCATAAACAGTATTGGAATTGAACAGAATAAAAGCTGAGACTGTGGATTCAGTGAGACCAGTAATTCATGTTTGATGATGTTTGTCTCCAAAGTAGTCATTTCATTATAGACCATTTCTTGTATAAAATGAGCTATTATGAACTCTAGAATAATCACAGGCTTGTGAGACTGTCAACCAAGCTAGAGCGGGTTCCGAGGATGGTTGGCTTTCCTGGATATACTGACACCACCTATCCCAAGTGCTCATGATAAGCTCACCCATACACACAGCACATACACGCTCACACACCAACCATCAGGAGCAATTTGGGGTTCAGTATCTAGCCCACAAGCAATTCGATTGGGCTGGGGCAGCTGGGAATCAAACCAGCGACCCTCTGATTGCAAGACCCGCTCTACCACCTGAGCCACAATTGCCCCCAGTGCTATAAATGAACAAATACTAATATTTAAATGAGGCTCTTCAAGCTTGGGCTTCTCATTCTCAGTTAAAATAGTTTAGCAATCAGTCAACAATGGAAACACTGTCAAAGCTTTCTGGGTCAGCGCTGTTGCTGTGTTAGACTAATTATATGTAGTTATTTTATTTACTGGGTGAAACTGTGCTGAATGTTTTATGATAATATAGGCCTACCATTACACCTCCTTTATATGCATTCATATTGCCATTAAATTTGGCTTTTCATTCTACCTCCTCACAACCCATTCTAAAAGACTATAATCAGTCCCTCCAGAAAAACGTGATTATGTGATCGCATAATTCAATACATAATCAGCCAAAGTCCACATATTTATGCGGGGGGATTTTTCAAATACGCGCAAAATATGTGGGGCTTGCATTATTTCATAATAATTCATAATTCATAAGTCACATATATCTTAGCAGAAAGGTGAAAAATGTTGCGTTTACTTCACACAAAAGCAGCCATTTTCCCCTGTTGCCATGGGAACGTTATGAAGTGACGTAATTACGCGACGTGAACATCATTGAAAAGCTGCAAACCCCGCGATGAAGCCATAATGATGGACGTTGAGGGAGAGGGGATGGAGGATGAGGATGGCGAATGATTGGCCAGTGTTAGAGGCTACGCAGTTATAGTTTTCATTTTCACAGTGGACTGTTGTAGTTTCATTCAGGAGTTGATAAAACTTTACAGTTGTAAGATTGCACTTTTTTGTTACCAGTGGGTTAAATCATACTAGTTTCAAAAACCTTACAGTTGTAAGTATATTAGTAGTATGTAAATTTACGTTACAGTAAGAGATTGCACTTTGTGCATTGGAAGCACTTATTTTAACAGAAGATGTCTGTTTTGTATAGTTACCTCTGTAAAACAGGAAGCACACATTTTATTTTATTTTTTTTTATTTATTCATTTTTACAGAAGTTGTAGCATATTCCTTTTGTAAAGCTACAGAACTTGTTTGACTCATCAATGTTTTGTAAGTTTGAGCCATGTGTTTATTAAGGTCTGAAATAAAACAAGATGAGAACTTAAATATTCCCAGCACTTTCTGTAATGTAGTATGCTTGCTTATCATAGGAAGTAATAAGAAATGACTCTTTACATTAAGTTAGTAGCCTAGTGAGAACAGGGTGTTGGGGAATCACTTTTTTTCTCTCTTTTTCATCAGACCGCAGTTTTTGCAAGTTCCCGCAATTTCATCACATAAAATTGCATAAATATCCCGCATATTCCATCCATTTTTTAAGAAAACGTGCCGCATAATCAAGGATCTTTATCCGCAACAATCACAAAAAAACTCTGGATTTTTCTGGAAGGACTGTATAATGCAGCATTCAGATTCAAATGTTCTATGATAAGAACCGGAGCATGTTTTTTTCTGAGGATGTGAGACAGATAGAGAACCCAGAGTACTCCTCTTACATACTCTGACTGGAAACCACCAGTCACATTTGAGGGAAAGACACATAAAGCTGTGATGTGACCTCAGGCATGCTGGCCTTTTTATGTTGGCTTCTGTGATATTATTGTGGCTTTAGTCCCTGTCCACTACATTAACATATGACATGTTCTTCCTCTCTCTGCTTATCTCCAGTCAGGTCTTCAGGATGGTAGCAGGGTGTGTGAGTGTGTCTGAGGACAGCAGCAGCAGCAGACAGCAGCAGTCATGGAGGTGGAGGGCACTACGGAGCCAGCGTTTGTGGACGTGGACCAGGGCCTGACTCTGGCCTGCATCGCCTTCCTCTGCCTGCTGCTGGTGGCCATGATCATCCGCTGCGCAAAGGTCATCATGGACCCCTACAGCGCGATCCCCACCTCTACATGGGAGGAGCAGCACCTCGACGATTGACATGTACAGTACATCTGCATTATGTGTGTCCTCTCCAGGCAACTGTACTTGACAAACCAGCAAAGTCTACACACAAGAAAAAGATTCTTCAAGGGTTCAGTAGTGAGGCATAATTACAAAATCACAATCCAATCACTTCCAAAATTAAAAAAAACATGTTAAATATTTTCTTTTAAGAGTTCCACTTTAGAGCATTTCAGTTAGTTCTAAAATGATGGAGAAACACTCACACACTCACACTCACACTTCCCGGCACAGAACTTCTTTTTTCTTGAATACACATTCTTGGGTTCTTGATACTTCCTGAAACAGTTCTTTATAGGGTTCTATAAGGGTTCTTTATAGTCCCACAGAGCATTCTGCCATGGTAAAGGTAGAAACACCCTCTCTGGTACTATACAGAACATTTCGGTTCACAGTACAGAAATACATACAGGCATGAACATGAAAATCTACATGTATGGTAAGAAGCATATTGGGAGGACGAAATATAAAGATTGTTTTATCCACTCATGGATTGACTAGGAGGAGAAAGAAAGTGGGGAGCTGCTGGGATTGCATTGATGGAAGGGACACTATTACAACTACAGAGTAAAGCACATAAACTTGGCTTTTTGTATCTACCTAGAGATGTCTTCAGGAGCCCTAGGGCTGCCTTACATTCCCGTTGGACAAACAGACACAATCAGTAATGGCAAGTGGCTGCCATCCTCGACTGATCGCACTTTCCCTTTACATCTGTACAGACTGGAGTGACGAATTAGCGAAAGATAAACACGAAGAGGAGAAGTCACAAAACTGGTAAAGTCTTGGTCACACGATTGTAAAATAGAACAAAGAATGGAAGTGGCCCAATGAGGGGGAAAAAGTGTCTGAAATTAATGGTGTTACTTGTTAGCCTAACTAGAAACATAATTCTGGTTTATTACAACCTGATTCATGGTAGTTTTTGTAATCACTGAGATCAGTAATATTAGCATAGGAGCAAGTTGATTGCTGAGATCTGGGAACATGGCGAATCACGCTAAAGAACAAGAAAATGATCAGCTTTACTGTCTGTTAGAAAGTGCAAACATCCATCACAGTTTCTACAACTACTTCCTGCTTCAGCTTTAACCTACAGTACAGCAATATTTCTTTCCCAGGATGGCAAAGTCATGACATTAACTTATTTAAAACTTTACTTATTGCTTAGCTCACTGTTCTGGACTTTTTTGTGATATTTCATTACAACCATTATCATTTCTGTTTTTCTATTGGTGTATTAATAGTATAGCTGATCATAACTATGAAAATAAGACCCAGGTTGTGAGAAACCAGAACCATCCTATCATGGAATACACACAAGCTTTGAAGAGATTGGCCACTTTGATCAAGTTGGCCATTATGTGTTGACAATATACTGTAGGCATTAGCATACAGTTGTGGTTGATAAAGTGTACAAATGGAGACTATGGTTTTGCTGTACACAGTGGATGGCAGTGTGGCATGGAGCTTTAAGGGCATTCCACAATTTACAAGAAACAGATGAAACAATCACTCAAACATTTAATGTGAACTTAAAGATTAAACTGAGCAAAAACCAGAACCAGAACTTGAGGATTTCCATTACATGGCCATTTTAAAGGGGCACTCCATTGATTTTATGTGTCGAAATCAGTTTGCTAGTCATAGGGAATAGTAGTCAGCCTTTCAGTCATATAGCAAGTCCAATGTCACCTCCAAGCTAGCTGCTGTATTACTAGCCTCTGTAACTCAATTCAATCTATGATTGAGTTAGTTTGATTAACATGTTCTTGGGCTTTAGTATCCATATTCTAAGATAAATGAATACCTACGAAAGTACTGAAAGTAAGTTTCAGGATTGTGAATTTTTAACTGGTTATGAAACAGTCTCAATTTCATACCGATGTCTCTGTATGACTTACATAAACAAAAAATAGTCAGCAAGAAGATTTCTGGCTATTTCTGTATTCCTAATGCTGACACTGGGCTGGATTCCCCTTGAGATCAATTAAACAAGACGGTGGTGCTGCTGTTTTTGTCCACAGGGGCCGCCAGAATTAACACAAAATGAAAGCTACTTGTGCTTTAAGTCATTGTAAGTTGTTTTTTTGCCAAATATCTACCGACACTCTTTGAATTTATTTATTTCCAACTAGCTTTAATCACTACCGTCTAAAAACACCTACACCATTCAGCCCTCTCTTCCCTGCTGTTATTACAGACATGTCAAAATTAGCCACAGACACATAACGATGATTTTTAACCCAATATGGTGTATTTTGAATTGTCTTCCTTGTGTGGACAAACTGAATGAACTGCACCACTTAATGTTGAGTCGGGTAATGCTCCAGTGCTTCTTACTTCTGGAACAGAACCTAAAAGTTCTGGTGTCATTCTGTAATTTCTCATGTGGCTCTGAAGGAGTTCTGTTAAGTCAGGGAGAAAATAACCCTGACGATGGCATCAGGATTATATCCCAAATTTCCCGTCTGGGGGATCAATAAAGGATTATCTTATCTTAAGATGGGCTTTGAAACATGGAGGATGGGTCTATCGAAATACGCTATTAAATTGCCTTATGGGAAGTGTAGGATCCTGGGTTTTTGGAGCTTGATCCATACTAGGTTTTTCAGCCTGTGCTTCTGTTTATGCAAGTGCAATACCAAATCACTGGAGTGTCCCTTTAAATCATACAAGATATCAGTAAAATGTAGGGAGGCCTTTGTCAGTTGATTTCATTGTAAGCTAGATTTTGTATGTTTTATAAAGAATTATGACTTTCTTAAAGGACTTGATCGACTTGTATTTGCCTGAGATTCAGTGTCTGAGTAAACCTATTGAGCATTAACGCTCAGACAATCTGTAGCCTTTTAGCCTTTGGAGTAGCAGTCATGCTTGATTATGTGCTACTGCCACAGCATGTCCTCTCCTGTTGCTGTAAAAAATGCACACACATACAAAGGCAAAACTACAAAATCATCTCATGTTGTCCGATACGTTATGTCCGATACGTTATGGCTCACAGCAGTATGAACTATTACACCCTGCTTCTGTTCATAAATTGGCCTTGTTTGCTTTGCCTGTTTCAGCCAATAGTTTAGAACAAACTGAGGTATTCTTGTTGCTGTTAATTGAATCTGTCTCTGACTTATGTATCTGCCTAGACAGCATTAATCATGAAATGACAGTCAGTTGCATGTTCTGAAGTGCCTATGCTTACAGTAAATCACAGAAGAGCCATTTAGCACAATGCTGAGTTCCACATCAGCCCCTGAGTCCCTTTACCTGGAATTCCTTGGACAAATTAACATATTTTGGATGGTAAAACAGCACATTATGCTTCTCTTAAGGCAGAAGGGTTAAATAGCTGTGCTTATTCCTTTTCCGGGAATCTCAGATATCAAGGAAAAACAGTGAAGGTGCATGGTGGTGGGGGTCAGTGTGGAAGCCAGCAGTTTACTGATACGCTTGACTTAAAAATTGAGTGGAGGTTATTAAATAACCTATTTAATATGCTGTCTAATCATGTGGTGAAGCACCCTAGTTTTGCAGTACTGCAGAGTGGAGAAGACTGAAATGCATTGCCCAATGCCCACTGGACACGGCTGCATCGCGTTCTGGCTACATACACAGCTCTGTTCTCTGCTCCACTATTTTTATGCTCCAGCTCTATTGTTGCTGGAGCAACTCGCCTTCCTAATTAACTGTGAATGTGTAAAAATGCCTCTGTTTATTGGACGTTGACATAGATGCATTTCCATTTCCTGAGGATGGAGAGCTGAGATGAGAGAAAAATATGTGTTTAAATATTTCTCTGCTGTAGTCAAGTATCCTGACGGTGCTTGATGGTTACACAGAACCATCTGGGAAGTCATCATTGGAAAAGTTTGGAAAAGGGCTGGCACTTTCAAAAATTACAGGTGATTAGATCTAAACATCTGTCTATCACTGTTTATCATGGGTGAACTTCAACCAATCAGATCAATGAACCATATAATGTAGTCAAACTTTTACTAAAGATAGTCGGAAGGAGAGTGAAAACATCTTTTACATCATCAGTAAAGCATTCGGTACCGTTTTTTGCTCTTTCAATTAAGAAATACTCTCCAGTTCTGATAGGACTGATGCTAGCAGCATCTACGCCAATCTCTTTAGCAGCCTCCATTGTTGTTTTGGAGCAAACTTCTCAAACACACCTAATCAACCACACCCGTAGCTCATGCCATAGCTGCCAGTAGTTTCTCAAAAGGTGCTTATTGGTCCAAACCGGTGTGGTCCGGACAAAATGCACATAGCTTGAAGCCTGACAAGATGAATTCTGTAGTACAACTGCCGGTCGGTTAGTTATCAGGTTATTTAACTGAATAAAGGACAGCCACCAAACATCTGTGACCACCTCTAAATGTAGTAAATGTGTCTGCTGAAGAACAAACACTTGCTGGTACCTTCAGTGGGCATTGAGGCTGCAGCAGAGCCTTGACTGAGCGGTATTGTAGCCACATTGTAACCGCGATGCAGCCGGATTCAGTGGGAACGTAAGGGATATATCCGTGTTGTGTCTAAAGACCACTGAAGCAACCACTGCGGGCAAATAGCTAGCACATGTAAGAACAAGTTAGTGAGAGAGGACTTTTTTGGATCCTCGAGGTGCTTCACACCCATAAAAGCCTGGACTGCAGTACAATAAAGATGATTGTGAATTACAAAACTGCCAACAGTACCTGTCTTTTGTGTGCTTTATAACGGAACATAAATGAAACTGGAAGCTAATCTCACATTATTTTGGACATGTAATTGGGTCACACCAGAAGCCTGATGAAATTTCATTCAGAGCTTATCCGCGGGGAACCGGCTGCCAGCCCTAAGGCCTTTTACATCAACTTCTGTCTCACATAATAGGCCAATTGGTACAGAGATGAAAATCTCTAGTCGTGCTCGGAGTCAAGGGCATATTCTGCACATTCAACCATCCACAGGGCTTTGAAGGTCAAGTTGAAGGTACATAGAGTATATTATGATAATGAGGTCTACATTGTGAGAATGTAAAACAGTGATTTAATTTGCCATGACAGTTAAATTGTGTTCTGTTTCTCTCTTGGCTCTAACCTTGGCTCTGAGTTGGCAGCCTGCTGTCTACTTCAGCCCTGTCTGTGAAAGGTCGGCCTTCCTCTCATGTCGAGCATGCTTAAGGGGGCACAGGGCACCGTTTACAGCATTCAGTATGCATCTGCCTCCTGCTAACATCTCTCTGGCATTTACATCTTGGTGAAAATTCTGCATGAGTGAATATTTCACAGCAAATCCCTGATCTTTGTGAACTGCACTGTGTGTGTCAGGGCTAGCAGGTGTCCCTTATTACAATGCCTGTGTTATAAGAAATTAGATATTCACATTTATGGAGAAAGCCTCAGTCAGTGTTATAACTGACCTTTTGTTGGCCGGAACTACTACTACCTTCTTGGAGGTAAAGTTATATATATATATATAAGATATATATGCTATATGGCCAAAAGAAGGACATCTTCAGGCGACAGTGAGAGAGGGTTTAATATTCAAGATCCCTTCCAGACATGTATTAAGACATGTTTTTTCTGCTAAAAAAAGTACAATATCCACATTTAAATCTAAATATGCAAATGTTGTTTTTAAAGTTTTCCTGCTGGACACAAGACGTCTCCTACTTCACTGTAAAGTCCATTCTCAGTGGATGTGTCCACTAATCGTAAGGTTGTTCGTTTGATCCCCAGCTCCTCCTGCCACATGTTGAGCAAGAAACCGAACCCTGAATTGAAATGGTGAATGTGGCATGTAGTATAAAAGCGCTTTGAGTGGTCGGAAGACTAGAAAGCCACTATACAAGTACAGGTCCATTTACCATGTAACAGCTGGCTTTTGATGCCGGTTTGGTGTGGCAGAGCCTTAACGTCATAACCTAATTGTTTCTTTGTTCTCAATGAGCAGGCAACCACTGTACTAACAGGCAAATACTGTGATGAAAAGTGACATTAAGAAATAGCCCTTCCAAGTTGATGTTGATGTTCACAGACAGCTGATGTTGTCTTTTTCAGACATAAATGTGGCTGGAGTTTTCAAAGTTACAAGAAGATGTCTTGAGTGGTGTATAACATCAGTGAAACAGCGACTGAATGAACACCAGAAACAGACAACATCAGCTGTCTGTGAACATCAGACAAACAGCGCTCCCAGCCTCCACTGGAGGAGGTCAAATGTCATCAACCAGGACAGTGCTCTAAGCCTGAGGCTCACTCAACTGGGCCAGTCATCATGGTAAAGCAGACCTTGACCTGGGACTCCAGATGGTCACAGCTTCTACTTCATAGGATCCATACAGGGCTATGCATGCAAACTGATATTGTAATATATTAATGTTTTTCTTGAAGTGTCAAAGATACAATACACACAACACAACACCAAGCTAATTGTGATTATCGTTTCTGATTGCCTTTGAGGTGTGTTTTGTACAAGAGACTGCAACAATCAAACAATCAGTCATTTAGCAGTGTTTAGTTTAAAATCTCAGTGTAAACCCTACAATGAGCCTAATTCATAGGATAGTGTCAATCAATCAACCTTTGTCCTTAAGGGAGCCCTTTTCTATCAGTGAGTAAACTCACTGACTAAAGCCTGACATAGTGACATATTTTATGGATATTTAATATTATATTCAATGCATAACACAAGAGAACAGTACAGAAAGTACTGTTCATTGTACAGTGATACACTATACAATGAACCCAAACAGTGAACACAGTAACTGCAGGAAGTTTGTGTTAAACCAGAGATTTGGATACATTTTGAGCAGATTATTTGCTGTGAATATTGAGATCAGTTTTCCTGATATTTTTATACAATTCTGTTTGTATTATGTATATTCTCATTTTTAACAATCATGCATACTTTATAGGCTTCTTTTTTGACAGATATACTTACTGTTCTATTAGCTCTTTGGTTGCCTGAACTTTTCTAATGCCTGATGAGATCTATTAGTCTATTAGTTTATGTTTAGGTCTTCAATTTTTAGATCTTAAAAAATAATCTAAACTTAAATATTATAATTTCATTCAGTTTTCTTCACGAACTAAATGCTGAGATATAGGCCCACTGAGTATATTTCTTTAAGTTTTCAGGCCTCGAGAACCCCTGTGAAGCTTTGGCCCGACCCCCCATTGGCAACCATTAGTGTAAACCATGATATGCTGAATGTCATTGTTTTATTTGGCTCTTTCAGTGTGTCTCATTTTCCATTTTAATATGTACATTTCAGTTAACAGTTTTGACTGTTTGATAAGTATAAATGTATATTCATCTAGTTGTTTGTGAGGAAATGATTCATTGTTTCACATTTTTCTGTTATGTTATTGAAAAAGGAAATTAAAGATGTCTCTGCCAACAGCAAAAGTAAGGACTGTAATACATCACTGAAGCTGCAGAACATCAGAATCAATTCTCATTTTCATCTGAGGAGTTGGTCAATTATAGGCTGCATTCCACCTGACTGGCCAATGATCAACAGCCTCATAGTAGAACTTCCACATTTATTGGCGATTTAGGAGATGGAAAAATGATGAAACTTGATTCAGCAAAAGGTTTCTAAGTAAAAAAAAACCCAGTAAAAATAGTTGCTAGATACACTTGCTGAAATGACAGTATTATACAATTTTTGATGTTAACATCTTTTTACTATGCTTTGAAAAACCAGGGCTCACAATGTTAGATATTTGTGGCAGTTGGGGCATGTCTGTGCTTCAAAGGGGATGCAGAGCCACATTGACAGCTGTGGATCAGCCAGTTAAGAGTGTGCATCTGTCTTGGCAGTGAGTCTTGGAGCAGTAGCGAAGACCACTGCCTGAAACGTCTGAGTCTGGCTGAAGTCCTGTCAGAGAGGGTGTGTGCGTGTGTGTGATGGACTTTTGCTTTCGGTGCCCTCCAGTGACAAAAAAATAAATAAAAATAAAGTTCTCCTGTACCGTTCCAACCCTGCAGCCACCCCTAGGAGCAACCAGAACCTGTGACACAATCTGACCACAAAAATCCAACTTAATGCAACTTTATACAACATAATGTGGCCAGGATTATATTCACTGGAAACATTATGTTGCAGTGCAGGAAGTGTGACATGCTCAAGGTACAGTTACATTAATAGAATCACCCTGCAGTCAACCATGAAAAAGATGTGATGTTGCAATTCCGATGTGGGTAATGAAGTAATATTGAACAGAGCGAACACAAACTGTGAGCAGAGTGTGAGTGTGATGTGGCTGTTTGTAGTCTGGTGTAATACTGCATAAAACAAGGTAATGACACATCTTGAGAATAACAATCTCAGGGCTGGATTCAGCTTGTAGGGGGCCCCAAAACAAATGAGCTGTGGGCCCCTACTGAAGTGAATAGGACAGAGTGGTATGAAGTAAAGAATTTCCATAATACTCTCTATTAATTTATTAATTTAATAAGCAACTCAATGCCTAGTTTTGAAATTAAACCTATGGACTATGTAAGATTTGGCATGTGTTGCAATTTCAGTGCCCCCTGTTTCAGACTGCAGTCCCACTGTGGTGAATATGGACAGCTCTATGTTTCTTATGATTTCTTTACTTACGATTAAAAACTAGCGAGCCAAAAACTTTGCTAAGACAGCCAACCAACATCAAGCAAGTGCAACAACAGCAGATATAGCAAGCGGTTAATATTACTGAATGGTCCAACAGCAAGAAGACCAGCTCGCCGTCCGTCTGCAGCCTTTTATTTCACCAAGCTCTCCCCAACCACTAAAAGCCAGTCCCACATTTACTCTCTCCTTTTCCCTTCTTAGCTTCCTCTGTCAATGTCCTCTTAGGTCTCTTCGCCTCTGCCATTAACTATGTCCATTGAAGCTGCTGAGCCCGTTTATATTAGCCCTTCACCCAGCTCCAGTTCTGTCACGATGCCAGTGCCATTCATCACACAAATTAGTAATTCTTTTTATTTCACTCATTAATCAATTTTTGTTTTGTTTTTAAAAGTAGCAGAAAGGGAGCTATATCTAAATTTAATTCTACAACTTTGAATTGTAAATGATAATAAAATAACCTTGAATTCTTGAATATTCTTCTGTTTGAAATTTCAACTTTCACACTTTTAAATTATTGTAAAGTTCAAGTGTACTGTATTCAGTCGCTCATCCAAACTTGATTGGACAGGGTTGTAATTGATCCCATACAGGCTCAACTGTTGTCCCTCGGTAGATGTTTGGACCAATGACCAATTGAATTCAAACATTAAAAGGAGGAGTGTGTAGGATTTAGTGCCATCTAGCAGTGAAGTTGCAGATTGTAATTCCCTGAACACCGTTCAAGTATTTGAGGACCTGGGAATGAGAACGGAAACTACGGTGGCTGGGAAACTTGCAAAAAAAAAGGCCCTATCTAGAGCCAGTGTTAGGTAGGTTTTCATTAGTGTATAATCACATGAATATAGGAATCATTGTGTTTTCGTTACCTCAGAATGAGCTGTTCTTATCACAGACGGGGTAGGCCGACCATGTTGAATCACAATGTTTCTACAGTAGCACAAAACAGACAAACCTATGAATATTGTATTCCATTTCTGCCGATAAATCCTCCTAAATGTTACACACTGGAGCTTTAAGCAACACAAGTCAGGTAATGTTGGAGAAACTAACTAACTAAACTAACTAACAGACAGCTAGATTTTTAA